CCAAATCGATTTTGGTACCAGTCTTGGAGAGCCGGGTTTGGCTAATGCGGGCAAACTGTTAGCGAAACTCTCGCGGACCGCGTGGACTAAAGGTATGATGCGAAATTGCCGAAATCTATTCTTTTCATTATGAATAAATACTTGGTAGACTTGGCCGGTTTGAGGTGATTCGGTTTCAGCTCGCTTTAGGGACTGCTGATGGGACGGTGAGGCAAGGACGAAATCTCATTCCAGTCGCAATCGGGAGGAAAAACTGACTAATTGACTTACTAAACAAATAACTATATATATTTATATATAATATAATGTAATATAATATAATATAATATAATATAATATAATATAATATAATATAATATAATATAATATAATATAATATAATATATTTATGTATTCAAAAATAATTAAATAACAAATATAGATTCCCTTTCAACATTAATCACGAAATATGCACACTTTTCTCGGCCGATCACTATTTTTCACCAGAATATATAGGTTTTCGAGTTATATATTTAGATATTCATATATACTTGTGTTTGTGTGCACATTTATTTCGGTTTGTGCATACATGATATGTATATATGCCGGACTTTTTTACATTTGTAAGTGAATATATATTTGTATATATCATAACATGTGATATATATGAATATATATGTAGGCATAAATTAAAAAAGTTAAATATATATATATATATAACCTATAAATTCTGGTTAAAAATAGTGAGCCGCTCAGTTTAGGTCATGCTTCTGTGTGCATGCGTACGCGTATACGCATAAATGTATGGCTTGACAACCAACCTAAAAATGTAGAATATTCCAACTCCTGACTGAGCTGACGGGCTTTCCTGCTCCGGCCCCGACCGGTCAGGGCCATCGGTTCCATCGTGGACTCGGCCTCCTCGAACGCCTCCTCCGGCTCCAGTTCGGCGTCGCTGTCGTCCAGGCGCGGTCTCGAGCAGGGCCGATAATGTCGTCGCCCGTTCGTCATTGCCTCCGAAGCAAGCAGAACCGGCCGAAAGATTAAGACGCACTTTGAAGCCCGGCCTCGAGGCAAGTCTGCATTGCCCGTCTGCTGTCAAATTATCACCTCTCCGCGATAGACGAAAGCAAAGCTGCCCTTCACTGTGATTGGTTGAAGGCGGCAGGATGGGCAGCTTATCGATCCAGACGGCAGAACGAGCCACCAATCGCAGGGCGCCTCGAAGGTCAAGCGATCAATCGATCCAAACAGTCAAATGTACGGCTTGATGGCGTGCAAAAGTGTCGACAGGCCAGGCCAGGCCTGCCACGAGGCTGACGTGGCCTTAACGGCCGAGCTCGACGGTTCCGGGGCCAGCAGAGGCTGGGCAACTGAGGCTGGATTGTGCCAGCGAACGCGAGCGCTTCCGTCCTCTCGTCTCCCGTTCCGAGCCCCTTCGAGGCGCTCGGGCGCCTACAGACTTTGCCGGCAAAGCTGTGTACTCTCTGGTCGCCTTGGCGATGTAACTGACCCAGCATCGTCTGCATATCGGCGCAAACAGGCTCCCGACTGCAGGCCGGTTCTAGCGACGCAACAGACGCAGGCAGAACACAACCGAGCAACGGGCCACACATTAAGAAGTCCTTTCTGTTGGGCGAGCGAGAAGATGGTTCGTGATCAACGTGAAAATAAGCCAACCAAATAATTCTATATTCGCATCTACGTGTTTTTTTTATTTCTTTTTGTGCATGCACATTCATATATATTTATATATTAGATTAGATTTTATATATATATCGACCAAATCATTCTATACCCGTCTATATGTCTTTTCATCTCCTTTTTATTTGAGTATATTTGAATGTAGTGCTATATTATAAATAGATACATATACACTTACAAATTGAACAGCATCTAAATAACCTTTTATATATAATTCAGTTATTCCCTTTTGCTGTTAATTACAAAATGAACATCCAGGCAAATCACTCTATATCCATATATATTCCTATTTGTTTCTTGATTTATTTTTTATTTTTAAGTACATTTTTTTTTTTCAAGTACATATATATATATATAAATAAATCAAGAAACAAATAGGAATATATATGGATATAGAGTGATTTGCCTGGATGTTCATTTTGTAAT